ATATTATTATTATTATAGTATTGATTAAGAATCATAACCAGGTTCTAAGGTGACGATTGGGAGGTTACATAATACTACTACTACTGCTGCTACTACTATTTCTAATAATGATGATAATAATACAAATATTAATAGTAATATAAATAATAATATTAATAATAATAATAAAAATTCTACCGTCTCGCTAATTCGTTTCTCTCGCCGCCTACAGGTGGCAGCACACTACGTGCTGGACGTTGCCGCGGGCAGCGAGGTCAGCGTGAGGCTGCGTCTGTGCGCGAAGGACGAATGCGCGAGGTCCGGCGCTCTGGACGCGCGTCGCTTTGAGGCGGTGATGGCGGCGCGATCACGAGAGTGCGAGGACTTCTACAGCAGCAGGGTGAGTCGCCGTGGCGAGTGCTGCCACCTGGCGTCGGGCGCGGCGCGGACGACGAGGGCGAGAGTCGTTCGATTCGCCGAGTTTCTCTGTTAGCGTGATCAGATTGATTAATCGTCGATTGATCCCGATTCGATTTACGCCGAAGGAGGGATGGTCACTCGCCTGCGTGGCGTGCGTGGCGTGCGTGCGTGGCGTGCGTGCGTGCGGCGTGCGTGGGCGTGCGTGCGTGCGTGCGTGCGTGCGGTGCGTGTGTTGGTGTGCATGCACGTATGGTGTGCATATTGTATGCGTAATTAGAGATTGCTCATGCTATCTAGAGATACGCTAATTAGAGATCTAGAGATCATGCTAATTAGAGATCATGCTAATCGATAGAGATCCATGCCTAATTAGAAGTATACGCTCATGCTGCTAATGGATGTATGCCGTGGTTGCATGCGTTGGATATTCAGTGCTAGCGTGCGGTAACTGATGTGAGTGGTGTGATGTGGTGTAGCGTGCTGCTGCGTGCATGTGCGTGCATGTGGAATGTTTGGATATCATATATCAGTGCTACAGTGCGTGGGTGCGCATGTAATGTGCGTGTACGTGGCGTGCGTGGCGTGCGTGCGTGAGTGCGGTGGCGTGCGGTGCGTGCGTGCGTGCTGGCGTGTGCCGTGCGTGTGCTGCATGTGTCGATATAATTCATGCGTACAAGTGTGGGGTACGTGGTGCGTGCGTTGTACGTCGTGGTGTGCGTGGGAGTGCGTGGCGTGCGTCGTTTGCGGCGTGTGTGCATTGTTCGATAGATCTCAGGCCAGTAGGTGTGGTGTACGTGTGTGCAGTGCGTGTGACGTGCGTGTGTGTGCGGTGGGAGCGTGCGTGCGTGCTGCGTTGTACGTGTGACGTGTTGCGTGCAGTGTGGTGTGCTGACGTGTGCGTCGCGCAGTGCGTGGCGTGTACGTGCGTGTGTAGTGGCGTGCGTGCGACGGTGCGTGTTGTGCGTGCGTGGCGTGCGTGATACGTGTGGGTACTGCGTGGTTGTGTGTACGTACGTTCGTGTCGTTACGGACGCGTGTACTCGTGCAGTGCACGCAGTAATGGCAGTATCGTCGGTGAATTGCAGGAGACCATGGCGAGGACTGTAAGGAGTGCTATCTACTACCAGGAGTCGCTGCCGACCCAGAACAGCTACATGTGTGTGTGCGTGTACATGTGTGTGTACGTGCCGTGTGTGTGTTGGCGTGCGTGCACCGCAGTAATGCGCAGTATCGGTCGGTATTGCAGGGAAACCACGGCGGAGGCCTGTAAGAGTGGCTAACTACTACCAGGAAGTCGCTGGCCTACACCGCACACTACATTGGTGTTACGTGTGTGTGTTGCGATGTACGTGTGCTGCGTGCGCTGCAATGTACGTGTGTGCGTGCGTGCACCGCAGTATCGCAGTATCGTCGGTATTCAGGGTAACTCACGGCGAGCCGTGTACAGGAGTGCTACTAACTACCAGAGTCCGCTGCCGCCCACAAGCTACATGTGTGTGTGCGTGTACGGTGTGTTGTGCGTGTGTGTGTGGTGGCGTGCGTGCACCGCAGTATCGCAGTAATTCGTCGGTATGAAGGCAACACACCGGGCGAGGACTGTAAGAGTGCACTTACTACGCAGGAGTCGCTGTATGTGTGCGTGCGTGGCGTGCGGTGCGGTGTACGCTGCGTACGTGTGTGGCGGTGCGTGCGTCACTCGCAGTATCGCAGTATCGTCGGCATTGGCAGGTAACCACGGCGAGACTGTAAGAGAGTGCTCTACTACCAGGAGTCCGCTGCGCGACCAACAGCTACATGTGTGCGTGTGTGTGTGTGTGTGTGTTGTGTGGTGTGTGTGTGTGTGGTGTGTGTGTGTGGTTGTGTACGTTGGTGTGTGTGTGTGTGTGTGTGTGTTGCGTGCGTGCACCGCAGTATGCGCAGTATCGTCGGTAATGGCAGGGTAACACGCGAGGACGTAAGGAGTGCTGACTACTACCAGGAGCGCCCGATCCCACAGTCTCTCTCATGTGTGCGTGCGTGTACGTGTGTGTGGTGTGTGTGCAGTGACGTGCGTGCGTGCACCGCAGTATCGCAGTATCGTCGGTATTGCAGGGCAACCACGGCGAGGACTGTAAGGAGTGCTACTACTACCAGGAGTCGCTGCCGACCCACAGCTACATATGAAGATGCTGTAGCAAGTATCCCGCAGGAGAGTACCCCTACTCGCGGCTGGTCGAAGAGGAACAGACAACCGGGGCTCTGTCAGGCGCCCGAGTAGAGCTGGAAAGACACCGGTACGGCGTGTTTGTGTGTGATGTGGGTGTATGTGTGTGTGTGTGTGTGTGTGGTGTGTGTGTGTGTGGTTGTGTGTGTGTGGTGTGTGCAGTGGCCCGTAGCTACGCCATAGGCATAGGAGGCAAATGCCTCCTACAAAATTTCAAAAAAAAAAAAATTGAGGCGGGCTCCATACCCCTACGCCGGATATTGCGTCGCTCTCGCTCCTTGTTCTTTAACGCTCACAACATTGTGCCCCTACAAAAATTTTACCGTCTGAGCTACGGCGCGCTGTGGTGCGCGCGTGTGTGTGGGGGGTACATGTGCGTGCTTGCGTGCGTGCTGCGGTACGGCGTGCGTAGGCGTGCGTGTGGGTGGTGCGTGCGTGTGTGTGTGTGTGGTGGGGGTGTGCGTGTGTGTGTCGTGTGTGTGCGCGGCGTGCACGTTAATGGGTGTGTGTGTGCGCGTGCGTGCACGCTGTGGATGGGGGTGTGTGCGTGCGGCGTGCGTGCTGCGTGGTGTGGGTGTGCGTCATGTGGTGTGTGTTCCAGAGTGACAGTCTCACAGCCTCTCATTCTGTACTACACCCGGCAGGGCTTTGCCGACAATCGCTCCTGGGGACGTGACCGGGTAATATGCCTAGGCATCCCCCGACGACATACTCTGGCAGGTATGGCAGGTAGTGCCACCTGTTGGCCCGAGCGGTAAACGTGTGTGACTCGCGTTCATGGCCGAACGTGCAATTCGACTATACACATCTGTAATTTTGGTTGTCATGCTTGAGTAGTCTTGCTATTTTCAGTCGCCGTCCTCTCTCGGCATCTCGATCGTTTTTCCCGGCCTGCGCAACGTCGCCTCCAGCATGCCTTTGCTTTTTTTCCGCGCGTTTTTCCCGCAGTAACACGGTCGGCAACAGGGGGCCGGCGGCGGCGACCTGCGACCTGCTGCCACCTGTGGTAGCCGCAGCACAACGTGGGTGTGGGCTGCACGGCCGAGGCTGCACGACCAAGGCCAACGCTCAGGTGTCGAACAAGCTGATCGCCGAGCCGCGCAATTGCCAGCCACACCACGCCGGTGAGGGGACATCGCGCCACCCTCCGCGCACCCCGTCGCCGCGTAAAGGGACAAGGCGCATTGGAAAAGCGGATGTGCGAAGCGTCGCTGTCGGAAGACGAGCGAGCGGCCCTCGTCCGCTTTAACCGACGATAAACTGTAGGCAATATAAGCGGTCACGTAGACAAATGCCAAACCCTGTGCCTAACGCGAACCCTCAGCCTAACGAACCTTCGCTTACCGAACATCGCCTACCAAGAGCTTAGCCTAACAAAGCCTCGTCTAATTTAACTTGGGCCTAAACGAAACTTTGGCCTAAAAGAAACGTGCCTAAATGAACCTTCTTCGAACGCTAATTCCTCGTCTAACGACACCCTCGGCCTAACGCAACCTTCCCTAACACGCCTGTCGCCTACACGAAGCCTGCTTAACGACTTGCCCGTCTCTCATTCATGACCTCATCTCTGGTCCGTTCTGGCAGCGAGTCGGTGTGGGAGTTGGCGAGGGGCCAGGCGAGAGAACTCCCCACTACTGTTTCACTGGAGAACTGAGAGCAACTAGCGTGCGCTGGTGAACAAGGAGAACTACCCACGCTCCGTTCGTGAAGGACCGTTCCAGCCGATACGTCGCGTCGACGCGGTGAACTGACGGCCGTCAAATCCGAAATGAGAAGATCCAAAGGTGAGTGTTCGCATGGGTTTTGTATATTCAATAATAGCTAAATAATAATAACTATAAGATAATAAATATATCTATCCCAGCGAGCTCTAGCGGTGCCTCTTACAACCTAGCTACATGTTGTACATGCGATGTGACTCGTTTGCGTGACGTTAATTCCACGCTACCTGATTTCCTCGCAAAATTTATTCACCCTCTTAAATATTTTCAATTGCCGAAAACGTCGTCGCGATTCGTGCCATTGTAATAAAACCGAATGAAATTTAGTCATTCAGTCAGAAAATGCTTCGTGAAAAGTTATTGAACGAGCCTCGGTGAATTAACGACGCAACTCGAGATTGAAAGGAAATGCGCGCACGCACGCGTTTAGTTTTCCTACTTCCCGACATTGTGTAAGGAAATGCACCGATGCTTTCATGGAAGCAGCGAATGTCTCACGATGTGTTGATTGAAATGGAAAGGAAGTGAACACATCCTCCTGTACTGTGGGGGGTTTTGTCACAGAAATCATTGCTCTGATCATATTTTTTTTTTTTTACAAAACATCGGTAAATGATTCATGCGTGTATATATAGCATCAAGAGCTATGTACACTATGTACAGACACACACCATACAGGGAAAAAAATGGAATTTATTTTTTGGGGGCTACTTTTCAAGCTCGCGTGCATGAAAATAGCACTCTAAAATTTGGTTTGCATTGAACTCTATGCAAATATCCGGGGGGCTCTTTTTGCCATTTCCGGGGCTCTTTTTGCCATTTTGGGGGCTAAATTGCCCCGAGCCCCCGTCTATTTTTTCCACTGATGTCATACATGACATATGACACAATGACATATATATATATATATTATTAGCTCTTGATAGCGTGGTCATATATATTGTACATGTTATGTTTCGTGGTATTAGTAATATGTGCGCGTGGACGCACGCTGTGAGAGCATGCATGTCTAGCGGGAGAATGCTGATGTCTGAATAGCCTCCATTCTTCATTACAAGGCTACCGCAATATAATCATCTCCCTCGTGTTTGTCTACGACTGGTAAAAGCTCAGAGCTGGACATTCCTGACAAAATGTGCTTAGTCATCCCTCCCATCCTCCCGTTTGCTCGCTATGTGGTTTAGATGGGCGGTACTTAGTAGTGTTCTGCTAGCTGTAGTGTTGGGAAACGCGGAGAGAGAATGTCATGGGGACAGTCTATGATTGTTCGTCAATGCATGATAATTATTATGTACAACAATCGAGTAACCTTTAGTGGAGGTGTTGGGTGGGAGGGGTAAGGTGTGGGGTCGGTGTGTTGGGGTAAGGGGTGGGGTGAGCGTAGAGTGGGAGTGGGGGGTAGTCATTAGCATATACTGTTCTCAAGGTCAACCGGTATTGAATAGTAATTGTTAGTATGCCAAATTCATTTTATGTTTGCAATTCATATCTGATTATCAGTATTATGATATATTCTCACGTTGTAAGAATGAAAGATTATATTATATCTTGCTTCTGTGTGGGTGTGTGTGTGCACACGTGTGTGGGTGTGTGTGTGTGTGTGTGTGTGTGTGTGTGTGTGTGCGTGCGTGCGTGCGTGCGTGCGTGCGTGCATGTTCAATATCGCATTCAC